TGACTATGAAAATAGGATGTAAAGTCCAATATAGCTCAAAAGGTGGGTTAAAAAATCATTTTTTCCCTTAATTTTATATGCGCATCTCCATATATATACGTGATTTATGATTTAATTAAAAGTTGGTATACACGTGGTTGTTCACACAACAATATGTTTCACCTACAGTCAATATATTAAAAAATAACATGTGTATCACATCTTTATTTTCTTAAGAAAGAATCAAACAAAATTGAATAAGAAAACAAGAATTCTTGTTGTCGTCACCATCATTATTATCATCATCATTATTGGACGGGGGTTTATAATAAAATGCATAACACAAAAAGTTATTTCTAATCAATTTTTTTAATCTTTTAATTTCCTTAAGGTGAGTTACTTACTTTCTATCTTTCAGCTCTCATTAGAGCCTCAAAGGTTGTATTGTTGTAATATGTTCTTGATGGTATCATGGATTACAGTCATGACCCAATTACAGAATTACAATAAAAACACATAAACGGAATCAAGCCCTTAACGGGATCAGCCTATAAACGAGATCGATATTAATTAGCCAATGGGCCTAATTAGGGATGATACCCGCGAAAGGAACCCACAATCAGGCCAGGCTGGACAACAGACCTCGAGCCTGGGCGGAGTTCTAGTGAAGTCGGAATCTTCCTAGGGCTTACGTGCCAGGCTATCATTCGCGCATAGCTATCTGGTAGCAGGTTGGAATAAACGGAAGAACGTGAACTTAAAGGAGATAATCATTGTACAACGTTCAAGACGTTACATGAGTCTATTTGAACATTTACGCTGCCTAAATTTCATCTGCTCTCGTAGTTGGATTAAACTCCATCAGTTCTCAAACATTTTTTCAAATAAAACATATTGCGTCATATTTAAGTCTTTTGCCCTACCGTATTAACTATTAAGTGCTTTTTTTCGTGGGTTAGAAATACTCTATGATGTCCATATGACGTCTCTTAGACGTGTACATTTCAACGGAGTACTAAGTACAAACATAATGTTTTTGATTCTATTAAAAAAACATACTCCGTAATGTTTTTGATTCTATGACTCTACGCCATATTGACGGCGAGTATAAAATAAAGCAAAACTATTTGAAATTTCAACTATCATCGTGGTGTCTTCAGCGTGTGTTCGTATAATTACATCAAGATCAATTTTAAACTTTTAAAACAACAAGTGAAGCCTAGTCGTGAAAATACTTTTGAGATTTTTATTTATAATTACAGTTTTATATAATGAAATATGAAGGAAAAGAATAAATATCTTAAAAATATTATACAAGATTAAACGTAATCTTTACTTTGTTCGATACATATAATATTTAAATGTATAAAAAGTTTAAATACAAAATGATATACGGAGTACATAATATATATTATTGCGCTTTCCTAGTCGTAAATACAAAATCCATATATAATAATATGTTTATAAATGTGAATTTTATTTACAAAAACTATTATCCAAAAAAATTATATCGTTAATAAAGCAAATGGATCAATTAAAGAAGATATTTTAATTGGATCGAATTTTTTAGAGTGGTCTCGTTTGTTTAAGTGGAATCTGATGTAGTATATGTTCTGATTTGATCGGTGTAAGCCTATTTTGATCTCATCTGGTGCGATAGTGAAACTGATCCGATTGAAAACGTCATATATATTACTCGTATATTGATAATAGATGATACTGTACAAAGTTGTTGAATATTTTATGTGAAAATATATGACAGTATTACTCACTTTGCATATTTTATTTGCATAAAATTAAAAAAAACATTGACTGCGTTCTTAATATAATATTTTACCTTTCTGAAACAGGAATTATTGTACGAAGTAATAGTTTAATACAATATTTCAATGTAAAAACTATTAAATTTAATTTAATAAAGTCAACAAAATCGAAATTCATTTTCAATAAAGTTTAACGTATTATTGAAAAATGATTTTATAAATCATTGATAATTTGTTCAAGTAAAATGGGCATGATATCATGTGATCGTCAACATGACATCATATTTGGTTTGCTCATTTCCACCTCCTACTCCATGGGCCATATCCATGTTTTGGAAAAACAATTATTATTTTCATTACAATAATTAATATATACGGAGTATATATATAATTAAAGTTATTTAAAAAATTGAGTTAATTGATTTTTAGGGAAAATTACATAAATGGTACATGTGGTTTGAGTCGTTTTCAAATAGGGGCATGCGTTTTATTTTTTTTAACAAAGTGAGACATGTGTTTTAATTTCATTATTATAGGTGGGGCATGGCGTTTAACGTCGTTAGAAAAATTAACTCAGATTTCTGAAAGTCTTTAAAAAATAAAAGAAAAATATTAGGAGGTGCGCCTCGTCAAGAAGACCTCCAGACCATCTTTCTTTTCTTGTGTTTCAGCCACAACTGTCGCCAGAAAGTCCACCGGAAAAGTGATATTAGCGAATTCGATTTTAAAAAATAATCCAAATAGAGTCGAAAAATCTAAAGAGAACGATAGTTTGTTGGTCTCCTTGACGAGGCACACCTCCCAGTATTTTCTTTTAATATTCCGAAGACTTCGGAAAATCAGAGTTAATTTTTATAACGACGTTAGACGTCATGCCCCAGCTGTGATAACTGAATTAAAACACATGTCCCACTTTGTTAAAAAATGAAACACATGCGCCTATCTGAAAACGGTCCAAACCACATGTACCTTTTATGTATTTTCCCCTAATTTATATTGTATTTTTTCATATGAAAGTTAAATTTGTTCAGGTTTTATGGACGAAATGATTATGAGGAAATTTGAGTTTTACACCCCATTTTATTGTCCAAATTAGACTTTGCATCCCATTTTTAAAAAAATTGTTTGTGCACTCCAACTCCATATGAAAAGACAAAAATGTTCCTTCATTAACAATTTTGCTGACTTTCAATATATTCCTGATTGAGGGCATTTTTTGTTTTTTATATGAGATTGGGTGCAAAAACAATTTTTTTTTTTAAAACGGGGTACAAACTCCATTAACAATTTTGTTCCCCAATGATTATTTATACTTCATATTAGATTACTAGTGTACTAGATTCTCACCCGCGCGATGCGCGGGATATTAAACTGTAAGAGTGATACGACATTATTTTTAAATGTTATTTGGTTATGTGAAATGAAAGAAAATTGTCATATACGTAACATGCTTAATAAATTATAATTGAAGATCGGATAGTGAAAACTCGGAGATAGGTAGTAGTAAGTATGTTTTGGAATAAGTAGAAAAAAGTAAACGTCATAATCATAATCATAACATAGCAATAATAGAATAAGTAATGTTTATTTTCACATGTACTAATAGAAGATTATAATAGTTATAATAATAGTAATAAAATAGACAAAAATATAAAAAATATATTATAAACATTGATTTAATCTTTCTTTGAGAAAAATATAAAACCTCTTTTTTTATTTATCTGAATTCATAACATTCACAATATCCATAATTATTAATTAATAAAACACTCAAAAAGTCATAATATTAATGATATATGAATCCAGACCAGCCCAATATAAAATAATAGATAAAAATATATAAATCCAGACCCAGCCCAATGTAAATAATCCTATGCACCCGACGGCCCATAACTAAACTCAACCCAACCATCTCTATTTAACCCTGCCCAACAACCCAGACCTAAACCGCCCTATAAAAACCCTCCTTTACCCTTTGGTCACTTCATTTGCACTTCGGCTCTCGGATAAACCATCCGGTTATCCGATTTCCTCGCCGTTCTTCTCACACACTTCCTCTTATCTCCCAAAATGGTAAGTTTGAAGAATTTTATGGGACGGAGGGAGTATATTACATATTAAATACTTCGCAGTTAAAAAGAGATGTTATCATTTACCATGTTCCAAAAGTACACAAAATACAAACATTACAATGAGCGAACAAACTTAAAATTTTGAAACACTTGTTTGTAAACAACATTAGTAGTATGATCAATTTGTTGATAATTGTCTTCACAAAACAATATTTTCAAAACTTTACTATATGACTCGCAAATCTTGAAAAAAATGACAAAGATTGACTTGGCTCGTTTATTATTGTCGTTGTATAGAACGTCATTGGGTATTGTCTTTTATCAAACTTGAAGCATTGGTGCATTTTATAGTGTAATTGTCAATTGTCTTATAAGTACCTCTTGACTATCACATTTTCCGCCAAACATTTTGTTCCAGAAGATGAATTCAAAATCAAGTGACTATCGAATGTCTAATCCAATTTTATTAATATTATAAAATTACAAATATTTTAAATAATATAAATATTACAAATTATTGATTATGAGAATTCTAAATATAATACATTGTATTAGAGATCTTACTAAACCCAATTATAATAGTATATTAACATTTAAAAGAGGCCAAGAAATTTCTAACTTATTATTCCAATCATGCTCCACTTAAAAAAGTCTGACATGCTTGTTTGGAGTATAAAATATATCGGATGATTGAAAAACTATTAAAATATATTTAGATTTCATTGCAAAAATATATATATGTAAATTAAAATGAAATCAATTCATGTTATTAAAATAAAAACCAATTTAGAGCGTGTTTGGTGACATGGTTTTTGGCTTATCAGGTTTATCAACCAACTTTCTTACTAAATATCTAACTTTTGATTTCATGCGCTGAATTGTGTGATAATAAAATAAGAAAAAGTTTGATCGGAGTTACGTTTGTGACTATATTGACTAAAGTTACTCTAAAGAATCATTTTAGCTGTTTTCTTATATTTTTTTTTATTCATTTTATCAATAAAATATATTTAAATCATTTTTTCCATAAATCAGCAAACTTAGTCAATCTAGTGTTCCAGCCAATATAGATTAAGGTATTATCAAACGGGGCTTTAATATGCTTATAATTAAAATGTATCCACAATTGAAGATAAATGAGTATGGCCCATTAATTTTCAAACCAAATCCACTCCCATTTCGGAGCCCATACAACCCATTTCCACTAAACCATCCAGCCAGACCCAACCCTAAATACATATACTCCTTATACACCAAACCTCCCCATTATCCATCGGTTAAACCTACTGCACCTCGATCGGGAAATTACTTCTCCCTCACCGAACTATTCGTCTTTGATGCTCTAAACCTACTTCTTCCATCCGTATCTCCTCCTCCCCTCCTATGCACCAAAGGATCATCCGTAAATCTCATGCTCTCTGTGGATGGATAGGACTTATCCGGTGGAGACGAAGCTTAGCCGGTATACTACCTGCGTATTCCCGTTGCCGGCCGATTGTCATAGTTTCGACTCTATTTTCGGTATATTTCTATTAGTTCTATATACTCCGTATTAATCTTAGTAATTTGTTATTAACTATACGATCTGAAACATGCAATTTATTTTGTTTGAATCTGACTATGCAAAATTGATGTTTTTTAAAGTAAATAATCATATTATTTATGATTCGGAGGTGCAAATACGTCATAATATTATATGTGTATCGTTTTTGTTTTTTGATGGACATATACAAACGGCTTTGTATAGATTGTGTGAAAACAGTTTAAGTTGTGTTTATTTGCATCAATACATCCTTTACACTTTACACAATATTGTTGGCATCAAACTGTTTAGAGTATGGATTTCACTCAGTTTTGGTATTCGTTTTGGTGTTCGTAGCTGTAACCTGCTTTTTCGAAAATAGGTAACCTGCAAAAAAATTGCCAATTAGTAATCTAGTGATCTGAACAAATGATGTTGCTTGAATCCGCCTTCAATTATAATAGTGGCATAGTAAGCAAAGTATGAAAAACTCTTGTCTCTTTGTACATATGAAACAATCTAAACACTACAAAGACTCATGTCGTACCTCTTCTTTTATTTTTGACTTACATTCGAACTTGTGGCAATTTCATTGAAGCATAAATCAGTCCTACCTGTCAATATGTTTAAATAAAATTGTTAATCTTAGATTCTTAGATGAAAAGCCTTGTGATGCTCATTTTCCGTATAATTGCCTAATAGGTTCTAGCTTCTATGGTTATATACATTGTTCTTACTAAGTGAAAAGCCTTGTGGTGCTCCTTTTCGTACTTATGAGTAATTTAAACAGTTCAGAGCATGGAAGCCAGTTATACCTGTTCCCACATACTATCTTCAAAAACTAAAGGGTCTTTAGACACAAAAAATGATTGTATTGTCTATGATATGAATTGAGATGCATTTTAACATGATTTTATCTTTTTATATTGCAGGTCTAAACCACAAAAAATGATTTTATTTTTGAGAACTATAAAGAACTCAAAAATTACGAACTCAGCATTTTCTAAAGCCCACACCACTTATTTTGAGCCCAATAAATTACGGAGTACTTCGTATGAGCAATGAATCCATATCACCAAAACCTAAGGTCATATATAACGTGGCTTTAGACTTCAGCCGCCTTCATCTATCCGTACGCCCCATTCAAAAAGCTATCTGTCCATTACTCATAGCGCATGTCGGTGATTGGACTTTGCAAAATTCCGACCAACTCCGTTAAAAATTCTTTGTTACTACTCCGATGGTTGATTCCCGTCTGTAGTGCTATTTGATGTTGGATTGGCCCTTAATAGACCATCTCAAAGTTGACGGCGGCTGAGAGAAGGTCAAAGGATCTCAGACAATGATTTAGTCTTCCATCGTTATCTGGGTATCCTTTCTCTTCTATCCCTTTCATTTTCGTCCTACGATTTTGAATGTTTTCACATGCCAATCACTTGTCCAGAATGTGATATATACGCATGTGTTTATGTGTTCAGATTTTTTTTATCTTCGTTGTGTTTTTAGTGATTATATTTGGCATGTACAATTTCATGTGATTATATTGAAAATCATATATTGGACAAATTTATGTAGTTGAGTAAATCTGTACTTATATATTAATGACAGGACGGATATATAAATCTAATTAGGTCTATCGTTTTGGTGCATAGATCTGTTTAAGTTATCAGATGTGTTTACCATTGTTGATGAACAATGCCGAAAATTGTTTATTTTGGGTCCTGTCACTAATTTGTTATCTCAATCCAATGAGATTAACAGTACAAAGAGGTCATACATATTTGAACATATTTTCGGCTTGACATTTTATTGTCTAACTATAATGGCCAATCCATGATAATCTAGATGGCCACATCTAGATTACGGCTTGACATATTTCAAAGGGATATGCTCTCTAGATTATGGCCATCTAGATTATCATAGATTATAATTACTACTGTCAAATGATGTTTGAACTATAATTTTATTTTTAAATCTCCACAAATAGGGATTGTATTTTTAAAGACCTAAGTAAATATTACATATGGTTTTGAATTTATAGTTTTCAATTTGTATTTTTGAAGACCAAAGTGAATAATCATTTTGAATATTATCAGTCAAAGCTGAAATTTTGGTGAAGTACATTTACTTGCATATTCATATTGAATTATAACCCATCATAACACAATTTAAACTGAGTTTGACATCCTTATTCTTGTTACAAATGAATGTAATATGCACTATAAAAGTATAAATGCATATCTTCAATATCCTAGACTGTAATCTGATTTGAAAAGTCCAACTGCATCTTAAAATCTTTCATGTAATCCGGAATGTCTATGCTGCAAATGTGGTTTTGATAAATGCAACGGTTGATGGTGGCCTAAAGCATATAGAAGAATCTCAGACCTTGTCTAACTATCCACTTGTAATTTGGACATTCGATGTATGCCCTCTTCAGTTTTTGACATTTTTTCATTGTCATCACTTCTTACTTTTGTATGAGTTTGGTTTAGAATTGTGAAAACTGTCCAGTCTTTGGACAAACCTGTATACACAAAAACATGAATATAATTTAATAGAACATTTGATTACTCTGAATCATATAGAATAAATATATTTTTCATTGTTGAAATATTATATATGTATATGTATATACACACACACACACACACACACACACACACACACACACACACACATATATATATATATATTGAGTCTAAGGTTTTAAACAAAGGTTTTACAAATTATGTTTCTAAAGTAATTTGTGTGTGTATATTCTCACACACATTTGTGTATTACACCTACACCCACACATATTATATATGTGTATATATAAATTATATATCATATTATATATTATACACACATGTATATATTTCTCTCTTTTGGATGCTGATTGTAGCTTTCGTAGGTTTTCCCAGGTTTTATTTGAAAATAGGATACCTGCAAAATGAAAATAGCAATCACTAAATAACCTAACTGAACCATTTTAAGCATCAATTTAACAAAGATATATTATAAGGCTTATACATACGTATTCAACATTTCTTTACTTATCAGTAGCATGTCATTGTTTACCCAGCCCTCGGATGAAAACAACAACATAGACATGGAATATCTTCATATTTTAAAAGACTTGTAACAGGAAAATGATATACCTATAATGGAATTTTTTTAGCTCTTCCCAACTTCAGAATCCAAATGAATCTCAATGGCCTCTTCGACCCTTTCTCTCAGTGCAATAGCCTTGGTGTGTGATGCTATTGAAATTCACTTGTATTTATACTGCAATCGGCCGTGGCTCTTATGTTATTATTATTATTATATTATATTAATTATATTATATTATATTATACTATATTATATTATATTATATTATATTATATTATATTATATTATATTATATTATATTATATTATATTATATTATATTATATTATATTATATTATATTATATTATATTATATTATATTATATTATATTATATTATATTATATTATATTATATTATATTATATTATATTATATTATATTATATTATATTATATTATATTATATTATATTATATTATATTATATTATATTATATTATATTATATTATATTATATTATATTATATTATATTATATTATATTATATTATATTATATTATATTATATTATATTATATTATATTATATTATATTATATTATATTATATTATATTATATTATATTATATTATATTATATTATATTATATTATATTATATTATATTATATTATATTATATTATATTATATTATATTATATTATATTATATTATATTATATTATATTATATTATATTAAATTATATTATATTATATTATATTATATTATATTAAATTATATTATATTTATAACATAATGGTTACTACTTATTAGATTATAACCAATGGATTTTAGGATGCTGTGGTATGCATTAAATGCTATCTTCGGCCTTTAGATGTACTCTTATTGCTAAAGATATTAAAGTGCACTTCCTTTAATGCTTTTCAAATGCAATTTGAATTTTAAATATTATAGTACACTTCATTTAATGCTGTGTAGGGAGCTCTGCAGCTTTGCATTTACTGCTTTCATAAGATCAAATCGGCTTCAATATACTCGGCCACATCCCCGCCTCCCCGCATTTAATGCTTTTTTGGAGCAGTAAGCTGGGCACTTAGTTGATCTTTATTGAGCCACGGAAATGTCATATCGGCCTGCAATTGTTGACCAAAGAAGACAAATCAGCCTGCAATGCTTTGAATACCCAACCCGACCCGCTGCAGACCCGACCCGACCCGTTTTTGGCCCACAACTTTGGGCGGGAACACTGTTCATATTTTACTTTGCTTTTGTATAATAGAAGATTACTCCCTCGGTCCAAAATTGAGTTGTAAAATTTGCATTTTTTGAGTCAAGTAGATTCATTTAATTAAATTGAGTTGTAAATTTCGATCACTTAATTAAGATATCAATTAATTAAATTTTAATTTGAGTTTTATGAGATTTCGAATTTGGCACTAACGAGGTGAGGAGTAATTTTGTATTCGACTTGAAAAATTGCAGGAAAGTGATTACGTCCATGCGTACGACAAGACACATCCCCATAACATCAATTTTACTGCTTTTCAACGCGGCGAAGGAGACGCGAAGTTATATTTCAAACTTCAACTTTGCATCTCTTTTCACGCCCTGTTGCTGGGTTACGGATGCATATATAAACACCACGCTCGTTCACAATTTCATACCGAATCACAAATCAGCTCTCCTTTTTATATTCTATTCTATTTTTTACAGTTTTCCTGAACTTGAATTGGATTTTGGTGTCGTGGCATGATGGGAAGTTCAATGGCGGAGAAGAAAAAGGTGGTGATTGTTGGCGGAGGAGCTGGCGGCTCTCTTCTTGCATATACCCTTCAGAACTATTGCGACGTTATCCTAATTGATTCGTAAGTGTTCATTTTTGTGCTTTTCTATTGTTGGATTTTGTGTGGAAATGTTGATTTCACATGAGGGGTAATTTTCTCCCTTAATCTGCTAAATTTTCAGGATAAAAGAAAACCTTTGGAAATATCAATTTCAATCAACAAGCAAGGAAAAACTAGGATATTACTTATTACTATGCTCATTACCAGAATTACCCACATTGTGCTCACTGCTCACTAACACCATAAGTTACGTTATGCTCATTATTATGTTTGACAAGGACCATAAGGTCACAAGGATTATTGGCTGAAATGGCTAGATCTACTTATTTTCTGAATGGAAAGCTTTTTGTAAAGTTGATGACTATAAATAAGTTAGTTAAAAAGTTGCTTACTACGTCCCATTTATGAAGCACGGAAACTCTTGAGAAAGAGTACGTTTCCTTTTCGGAAACTCTATGAAACTCTTCGAAAACTCTCTAAATAGTTGTATTTTACTAAAAGATGACGTTTCCCGTTTCCCGTTTCCCATTTTCCCAGGATTTTAACGTTTCCGTGCAACATAGCGTCCCATTATATTTGTCTCAATTTTCCCTTTTTAGTTCCTTGTATTAGGTTTGTCTCATTCCATATTTGGTAATATTTGTATTGTTCAAGTTCATTCAAATATAAGATAAATATCAAACACAATACTATTTTCCTTAATGTGTATGTCAGTTTTTCATGTCCCCGAGATAGTGGGGATTAGTGGGACGGAGGTAGTGCTTATTGTACTTATTTTGTTGATAAGTCGAATAAGCTGAATCATACTACCAAACAGACTCTTAAGTCTTTATTTGGTTTCTCTAGTGACATTGTGGTTGATAGTTTATTAGTTTCGCTACAAGTTTAGGTGATTTGCTTGATTTTTCTTAATTTGTTATTTCTCATATTGATGTGCTTTAATATTTTTTAGTAGTGCTATGTGTTTGTGTTGGTTTGGGCGATTTAATGACTGTAAAGTAATGCCACAACAGGAAGGAGTACTTTGAGATTACATGGGCTAGCTTAAGGTCAATGGTCGAACCATCATTTGCAAAACGTGCAGTGATTAATCACAGTGAATACCTTCACAATGCACGCATTATTTCATCTCCCGCAATCAACATCACGAGGAGTGAAGTTTTGACAGAACAAGGAGAGGGGTTTGCATATGATTATCTTGTTGTTGCCACAGGTCATTTGGATAATGGCAGTTCCACAAAAAATGAGAAACTCCATTACTACCAAGAAGGTCAGGAGTTTGATGACATCTAATGTGTATTGGCTCAATACCTTTGAGGCTTTGATACAGGCTTTCATATCATCAGATACCTATAATAACCCATCTACTTTTGTACCCAAGTGCATCAGGTCATTCCTGCACTTCTAGATCCCAATTTTGGTGTACAACTATAGATATTTGTCACTTTTGGTGTTACATTCATTTTTTTTTTTCCACTTGCCAGTCGACTCTGGCCACATAAGTGACCAGCAAGGAGCACAAGTTGGAAAAAACATAGTTATCTCACCAAATTGAAACAAGTAAAAACTTTTGTAACCCTAGATCTGAATATCTGCACCTAAGCCCCACACAGAGAGTTAGGCACCAGTCTTGTTTGGTTTAGAACGTTGGTTACAAACTTAAAATTACTCACTTAATGCCTTTAAACTGATAACTAAAGCAGTAGTTCATGATGACGTCCATTCAAGATATTGAAATTCAGTCCGTTGATGTTTATTTGTCTTCCTGGCAGAGAATGATAATATCAAAGCTGCTAATTCCATATTGATAGTTGGTGGAGGACCAACGGGTGTAGAACTGGCTGCTGAAATAGCCGTCGAATTTCCTGATAAAAAGGTCACACTTGTGCACAAGGGATCAAGGTTGCTGCAGTTCATTGGAGAAAAGGCTGGTAAGAAGGCATTTGATTGGTTAATTTCAAAGAAGGTTGAAGTCATCCTCAAGCAATCTGTTAACTTGGACTCGGCCTCGGACGGTGTGTATTGGTTATCTGGTGGTGAAACCATAAGTGCTGATCGCCATTATGTATGTGCTATGAAGCCTTTTGCAACATCATGGCTAAAGGATACCGATTTGAGAGGTAGCTTGGACGACCAAGGGAAGTTAATGGTTGATGCAAATTTGAGAGTCAAGGGTCACAATAATATATTTGCCATTGGAGACATTGTTGATACCAAAGTAAGCTTATACTGAATCTACTGGTTTCTTTATCAACCAAATCATTTTCAAAGCTAATAGTGTCTTTGAAGAATATCCGTTTTTGGTCCTACGATTATTTCCCTTGTTTAGTTCACAACTTTCATTTTTTATTTGCTTTTCATGCACACCTTATTGATTCAAAAAATGTTTGGTTACAATGTTAGGAACTGAAACAAGGATATATAGCTCGAAACCATGCATTGTTGGTTGCCAAGAATGTGAAGTTATTGATAAGTGGAGCAGAGGAGCAGAAAATGGCGAAGTATAAGCCCGGTCCAACAATGGCTATAGTTTCTTTAGGTAGGCGAGAGGCTGTGATGCAAGTTGGGTGCATAACCATTTCTGGGCGGATTCCGGGAATGATAAAGTCTGGGGATTTGTTTGTTGGCAAAGCGAGGAAGGAACTCGGGCTAAAATCTTAGCCTTCGTAGTCTTGCAAATTGGTGTTGTTTTTTTTTGTCTTTTTTTATTTAATTGCTGAGTTATAAGTAGCATTCCACATGTCTCATTTTTATATTCATACACTATGAATGTACATTTTGAGTCTGAGAAATAATTAAAAGTTTGATACCCGTGCTTCTTGACATGGTATTCAAGTTACAAGTTACATTGTGATGGTTTGAAATTTCTTTGAGTTAGAATGAAGTGAATAGGGTAAGATGTTCTCTCACTTTCTGTGTTCTATAAAACAAATCTAAGCTTTCTTAAACTGAGATCATTATAACAGAATTAATAAAGTACGAATATGATCACACATTCACACATACTAACTTCAATTAATATTTCCTCCGTTTCAATTTTTTTTTTAAAAATGAATAAATAATTGAAATGCAGAAACATCAGTTCGAACGGATAATATTAGCTGAGTGATTTTTTGAGCTAAAGCAACTTTAGCCAGCTATCTTATTCTTCCTTTGTTGAATGATTGCTAATTATATTAAGGAATTATTTAACTTTGCACCTCACCTTTTTTGTGTGATACTGGGCTTTGCACCCTAATTAAAGAAAAATGACTTTGCACCCTATCATATATGTAGTAACCTTTTGTGAAGATTTATTTTAATAGAGTGCAAGTCAAAGGGGTTTTAAGTGAAATGAAATGCAAAGTCAAAGTTTTTTTAAAATGGGTTGCACGGTTCAACATCACCCCATGAGATCTAATTCTCTATCCTGTTACAGCTTCCAGTGGTACGAACCCTCTCACATTCTCAATTTCATTTCTCATTTCAAATCTTGATTGAGCAGTTTCTCTCTTTTTCATTAATAAGATCATTGTCAAGTATATTCAAAATAAAATCAGGAGGAACTGAAATCCAAAAATTACAATCTGACACAAAACATGCGACTTTTGCCAATCCACGAGTCACCTCGTTCGCTGACCGTTTGATATGAGAGAAAGAGATATTCGTAAAGCTTGAGCAAATATCTTTGAATGTCATCCGCAACTAAGCCTGCCACAGAAACACTTGTCCCTCTAAGGATCTCTGAGATAGCACGAACTGCATCAGACTCTACATCCACAAACTGCCATCCTTCTTCCTTGATCCAAATAAGAGCCTCCCTTATTCCCACCAACTCGATCATGAACCTCCCACGTTTTCTGATGTTCACTCCTCAATGTAGGTGTTAGTTCTTCTTCCTAAACGTACAAGTGAAAGCACTAAATTGTAGCACGTACCTAGTGGCGCGGACGCGCGGCATGATAAAAGCACCCTTAATACAAATGCTCCGTATGAAAACATTGAAAAGTTCAATTTGTACACGTTATTTGTATGCGTTTGTAACTTGGTATAAACGTCCTTATTTTATTTATGCCCACATATATATAATTCGTAAAAGAGTAAAAATTCTGAAAGCTAGCTAAGTAAACAAATAATTTGAACTTGTATACACGCCGAAACGTGTACACGGAGACACGGAGTGCCGAGTGCGGTTGTACAAATATGGAACGGTGCAACATCATTAAAGAAATAAACACATATAATTATTTAATAAAAATTTCTCCTCTTCTTTTCATTGTGTTTTTTCACAATGTCAACTATAATGTCTAAATCTTAACGTTATACTTTACATTATGATTATTACGTAACTATAAAGCTGGTCGTTGAGGAAAGATAGTGAGAGCGATTCCCTTAACTAAATTTTATGTGTCTATACCTATACATGTTCCACATTTTTGTACCGAGAATGTTGTGATACTATCCGAGTAAAGGTGAAAGCAGTTGAAGTTTTTTATCGACTAGGAGCCAATTTGATAACACTGAAATTGTTTGTTAATTCTGCTGAAATCTATGAAGTTCTGACTGAAGTGGATGATTCTGCTTATTTATGAAAAAATTATATCTAAAATACTACTTTTAATAAGAAAACAAAAGAAACAAATATATGAAAAATATCTTAACTTCAGTTTTACCTTTTCTTATTATTACACAATTTAACGCACGAAATAAAAACTTATGTACTTATGCGTTTAGTGAAAAAGTTGATTGATAAGTCTGATAAAGTAAAAAACAGAGTCACCAAACGAACTCTACATGTATCTTTGTTTTTACCATTATATGAACCAATGGTAGCATTACACTATAGAAAAAGCCTGTTTATTGCACTTTTTGTAAACATCATTAGTCATTCGGGCTTTTCATGTATTTGATGGGTCAAATATTTCAAAGCTTGAATTGACTTTTTTTTGGGAATCACTTCTTAGTAATTACTCCGCACTAGTTTACTACTCCCCTTCCGAATTGTTATAGTGTGCCATTCAGGATTGCTTCTAATTGACTGAAATTAAAATTATTTATGGAAATATATATTACTACGTAGTATTGATGATTAAACATTACGCATTCATAACCTACAAGACTTTTATTGAATTGCAAAAACTGATTGAATATGCGAAGTAAAAAGAATCTTATTGACCACATGAATAGTATAGATGATTCAAACAAGATTTGACAAAAATGTGTCCTCAAGGAAGTAGTAGTTGGGAGAATAAACATTGCATATTTTGATAAATTGATCTTTAAAGTAGTAAGGGGTGAAATTTAGTGTATGATCTTGATCACAATTCACAAGTGAGTGATCACAAGGGTGATATTTTTTACATTTGATTTGATAGCAGATGAGTGATAATAACTCGCAAGTTTGGACTTCGACCAATTTACTCCACTTTTTAAAGACATTATTAATCACAATTTTTAATGGAATGCTTGCACAACTGAAGAAATATTTTTATGAGCTTAATAACAATCAGTGAATTTCCTTCAAAAAACGATCAGGGAATCAGCTTTTAGTGACTGGAAAAGTTCTTAGAAGAAAAACAAATTATAACTATTGATTAAAAAACAACTATTTGATTTAGTAATGTGTGGTATAATAAGTTGTGACTAATTATTAATGTTAAAAGTTAAAAAAAAATTCTCAAAAACTACTCAATGTACTTTTTCAAAAACAATTTGAGAATTAGTGTGACAAACATACAACTATTTTTAGAATTTTTTAAACAGTACACAAGCTAGAATGTAAGAGACTAGAGACTTCTGTTTACAAATATACTACCTCCGTCCCTTAAAACTTTGCCAAGTTTGACCGGCACGGAGAATAATAAAGTAAAAACTGTGTGGTTGTAGTTTGTACAGAAGAGAGAGAAATAACAGGAACCACAAAATATTGAATAAAAGGGAAAGTGACAAAGTTTTTTGGGACGTCCAAAAAGAAAAGATGACAAAATTTTAAGGGACGGGGAGAGTATGTAGTTGTAGATTCTAGTGATTAATTTAGCAGTCTGCGTCAGTATAGATGAAAATTTTTGGGAGGCGTGTTTTAGCGTGGAAGTATTACAAACTCCATGATTTATGAAAAGGGAAAAGGATCAAATAGGCTCTCGAACTTACATAAAAAAGTCAAATAAGCCTTTATATAGAAGGTTCTGTCCGGCCGTCGCCATTTGGGGCAGTTCCCGGTGGATTTTTTTGATGATTTTTTTAACATCTTACTCATTAAGGCTAGTTTACTCATATCAAATTTCAGCTAACAATTCAATCGGGAAGACATTCAAATGAATCCTTGAAGATAACTGTGCTTTTAACTACACAGTTATCTTGAAGAATTCATTTGAATGCTTTTCCGATTGACGTTTTAGCTTAAATTTGATATGAGTAAACGAGACTTGATGAATAAAATGCTCAAAAGATTTCATCAAAAAATTCCACCGGGAACCACCCCAAATGGCGACGGCCAGACAGGCGGGACAGAGCCTCCTATATAAGAGCTTATTTGACCTTTTTATGTGAGTTCGAGGGCCTATCTGACCCTTTTCCCCTTTAAGAAAATAATATGGTGACATCTGGTTCATACTATTTTACATTTTATATCTTTTTTTTCCCGTTACAGAAAAAACAACTCATCTCCTCGTTCCCCTCTAAACCCCACCTGATAAACATATCCTTAGGGGTACGGTTACTCAACTAGCCAAAAGGGGACCCCCCTTTACCAGCAGGGGTGCCTGTCTGCCAGGCGCGAGGGAGACGTCGGATGGAGGGGATCGGACGCATGACTTTGATGCCAGGCAAACCCCACCCAACTAGTCAATGGCTAATAAGCATATTTTAAATTTCAGTAATTCAATACTATTTTACTAGTATATACTCCGTATGTTGTTTTACATACACGCCAGAACCAAATAACATGAACATATATTATTTCCGTTGAAACCAGTTACAGGGGAAGTCTGAGTAACATCGCAGGTGGATATCATTATATGAAGGGATAAGTAACATGAAGTTAATAGACTCAATTAATTAGGGAGCATCATCCTTAGATTATTGGTCAGACAAACAAAGATGTTGATGAAATGGTTGCTAAAATGTTAACATCCCTTTCATATGGTGTTACCCTGACATCCATCCTAGTTTGAAAATGGAAAAATGTCAACCCAATAGGGATGATGATGCCCACACATCCAAAGGCACTAGACGCAAAACAAAGAGCGCTTACAATCTTGTAGGAGTCTGATTGGAGGAGTGATATGATCCAGCAGCTCTTGTCTCACATGATGTACTAATACAGTTGAGCTTGAGCCTTTCAAAGTCTAGTGCATGCCATGTTGGCGTTGAACCTGTAGATGATCTGAGCTTATCTCGAGGTTTTGGCTTCTCCAACTCTTTTCTCAGTGAATGATATCGGGCTGCATGTTCAGAGAAATGTGTCATATGTTAAAAACATTATATTGCCGATTGACAATAAGTATAATCACAATTTATCTTGCTGCCTATTATATAGGACATACCATGTTTTGAATAATAAAACTGGTCCAAATGCAATTTTTTATTCCTTTCTACTCCGACAGAAATTTGAACATATTTACGAGTTTTAAAAAGATTAATCATGTTTAATTTTCCTTTGCATTTTCAGCGAAAACCAAGCACCAGATAACAACTTTCTTTGGCATTTTTATTCATTCCCATTGTTGGGATATATTATCCCGACCGATTACTGTTCAGGAGCCCAAGACATTACTCAGTACGGAGCCCGAGCAGCTAGGCCCATTTCGGCTCATCCGGCCCACTTTAGCCATTTGGGTCCACTTCGGCCCATGCGGCCCATTAGGGTGGAGAGCATCCCCTTCCCCTATTCTCTATAAATATGGGAGTTTCCCTCTATATTATGGATCTTTTTTATCTTCTTCCCCAACTCATTCCTTCTCTCTAGAATAGCTTACAATACTCCATTAATGGAGCTCAAATTGTACTTGTAATGGTGAGGAGAGTCCTAATGAGAAAGAGAGGGCTTGGACATTAGCCTAAAAAGTCCCGTGGTTTTCTCCCTTTCGGGTTTCCACGTAAAAACTGAGTGTTCATACATATATTTACTATATCGTGTTGGATTAAACTCAACACCCATGACATTTTCAGAGAACCAAACAAGCATACTTGCATACCCCAAGGAAAAGTATATGAATACTTACCATCAACAATAAACTTTTCTTGTTGAAGCCTGATTATCTTTTGCTTCAGCTCACTGTTTTCAAAAGACAAAGCAGTGTGTTGCTGAAGCAGAGATGCAACCTTTGCAGCTAAGTCTGAACTTACAGTCTGACAAAAAAAAATGAATGTTCTCACAACTTCAGCATTGCAAATTTGCAATGATTTGCATAATAATACAATTGAGGTCAAGTTTGGAAAACAAATCTGCATTACTACAAAATAACACTTCATAAAAAGCACATTATGTGCCCATTTGGTAGCTGGAAACTTCAGCTTACCATCCTTATTGTCTACTAAACACTAAACTTATTTAATGTGTTAGGTGAATCAGTTGATTTTTTAAGTAGTTCAAAAATTGCTTTTTACCAGGAATGGACGGAGTGAAAATAAATTACCTTTCTACCCTCATTATTTAGATAATATTTCATTTTAGTTGATTAAAAATACTTTTTAATACAATTTACACAATTCAATACATACAGCGATTCAGCATTTGAAAACCAGCCACCATTTCAGCATAACCTATTAATTGGGCAATTTTTTTGTCAATCAAAATGGTCTAATAAAAGCAATGATTTTTAGTTGACACACAATCCACCCAATTAAACTTTAGCCTTAGAGTTCACTATACTGGAAGGCAATCTAATTTCCTTTCAGCAATGTAATCTCTACACTTTTTTGTAATCTCAACACTTATAGCACTTAAAAACCACCTAATTCTGACTGGTCACGCGCTGAATAGAAATGGACAAACAAAAAATAAAGGAAGGAAAAAATATGTTATAAAGTATGCATGATAATAAGTGAATGCAAATGTAAGTAAGATTTGCATAGAAAATGCCTGTAAAGTGTCAATTGCTCTTTCTAGTTCAGCAATGTATTGAAGTTTACGGACCCTTGATCTCTGCCCAGGGTGCCTGCATGTAAAATTACAGAGTATGGTCACATTCCCAGCTTTTAAGTTTTAACACCTACAAAATAGTTTTCATAGTGATTAATGCTTCTATAGGTTTCACGCATGAAGATAATACACTAAAAAATTTGACTAACAATTTGCTGCCTAGAGAAGATGACGTTGCAGGCATTAATCCATTTAACATTGAACCATTGGCTAAAGAAAAGCAGCGAGCAAAGAAATGAGTTATGAAGAGGTTAGTAAACACTACTAGAAAAGAACTTTATGATTCATGTCCATGTCATTTTCTTTAACATTTGACACGGTGCATGATAAACCTTAATAGTGTGTTTGACTATACATTCATGTGTTAAAGAAAAAATAAGAGTGATTGGAAGGGGGGAGAGAGAGGGAGCAGAGAAATGTTTTGCTTGTTTGATTGGCAGGGAAATAAGGGAGAGAGATATAATTATGCGGGCCCTGCCACCTTTTACACGCGCTCCCTCCCATGGGATGAAAAAGGGCTATAAAACGTGTAGTGATTTTGCTTTCCCGTGTTATACTTACCACTTTTTTCGTTTTATTCCATCCTTTTGACTTTTATTTAATGACATTCTTGTTATTTCATAATTAATAATTGTAATATCATTTTTTTCATACAAAAAACATTTTTCTATCTTCTTTTTCTCTCCACAGTCTCTCCTTCCTAGCAATACAACTAATCCACCTATTTCTCACTTTTTTCTCCCCACAGAGAGTACAGTACTGGAATGATTAGAGAGCACTGGAATGATAGAGGAAAGTGCTTCTAATCTGGAAATAAAGTGAGAAAAAGAATATGGTGGATACAACTTTATCACTTTTTACATCCTAAGTGCTCCTATACAAAGAGTACAGTACTGGAATGATAGAGACTCAAGAAGAAAACATGGTATTTCTAAAACAACATCAACATGGTGCAAGGATAGAGAGATTATGAGAGTGCTGGTGGCTGGGACTCAACACGCATATGGTGGATGACCTCGGGATCTTTTAAAGGTTCATGAAGCTGACCCAATTATTTGGAATTAAGCATTGGTTGTTGAAGTTTTAAGCCTTCATAAGAAGGTCAGACAGTAAGGACATACAGATAGAACTTTACCACTATGCTTTGAAGCATGAATTCATTCCAGGCAATTAATTACGACTAACCGTCATGATGTCATCCTAGCAACCCCAACATAGTTTTGAATTAAGGGGGTTGGTGGTGATGTTGGCCATTACCTAAAGCATTTCAATGTTTTAAATCAGATATGAAAGGAATCTTGGATAGTACTCTGTAAAAAATATTGTGGTAGCCAGGGGCGGACCCAGAAAGTTTATCTTGGGAGGGCATTAACTTAAAAAAAATATTTTTTGGGAGGGCGAAAATTATTTTTTGGTATATATATACACTAAAAAAAATTTGTTGGAGGGGCCACTGCCCCCTGGGTCTCTACTACGGTCCGCCCCTGATGGTAGCACAAACTACGTGGGGTCAAGAAGCACCTCATATGTGGTGAATACCATATAGAAACCCTTACAAACGGAAGCTTAATGCATCCAGTAATTTTCTGAGTTGCAACTAATATTATCTCTTTTTCTTGTATGTGATTTATATTACCCCTACTCGGCTACTCTCCCAATTCAGTCATATTTCTACAAAAGAATATAATTTTCATTAAATTTAATGTATTTTTCCAAAAATGTCTTTCAAACAAGTTAAGGATTAAAAGTACTAAAGTAGTATAGATGATTTGCAAGGCTTGTAGTTTTCTAAAATTATAAAAGTTATTAATCCTTCATGAAGCATGAATACTTTTCTGGGACAAAGGTAGTATAATTGACTACAAAGACCGAGTTAGATAGTGTGATTAAGTACATACAAGCACGGACCTGAACAAGAAAATGCAGGATGAAAAATCGCAAAGCAGATATATTTTTACCACAACAGAAAAGTTAACATGCCTGAACAATCAAATGAGTCAAGATTCTAACCTCTTCACTGGCTTTGCCTCGACATTGTTCTCACCATTTGAGCCACTAGCATCACCTGCTAAATCCCTGTGAGCAGTTTCAGACAAAGAAAGACTCCAATCTGAACACTGCAAAGCATCTTGAGAAACATATTCTGATAGGGCTGAGACTATGGCATTATCTGGAAATGTTTCTTTGCCTTTTCCTCGGGGGGAATTCGGACCATACACACAAGTTTTGACCCTTCAAGAGATTCATCACAACCAGCTCCAGAAGATTCATTTGCCTCATCACGTATGATTAGACTTGGTAGTGGAAGGATTTCATCCAAGAGGGTTAAAGAGTCACTAGCAGACCGCCTATGTGACATTCCACCACAAGCATTTGAATCAGATTCACTCAACAGTTCGTCAAGCCATGCAGGTTGCTCATCCACAATCAAGCTCTGAGATGACGATCTATGGTGCTTAGGATGAAACTGGTTGTCATTGAACAATGTGGGGGAAATGGGTCCCGAATTTGGGTAAATTATAGCTTTCTTCTGAAGGGGGCAACGAGGAGGATGATGTGCTTGCCTTGACATGTTGTGTTAAACTAATAGGAGCCTACCATTTCTCTGTTCATTCTTTTAGCATCTTTTTTACTTCCTTCAAAATAAAATTAACTCAAAGAGAAGCCTGAATCTCATCTTTCTCTGCCTCTTTCGTGCATTCATAATTTGCAGGAGGTTCATATCAGAGCATGAAAACCAGAAAACCACAAATATGAATTTTAGTTTAGCGGGAAATTAGGAAGTCCATAACACAATAGTATTCGAAAACATAGAATTATTTTCTACCCTTGGGTGGAATATGGTTCCGTGGAATCAGATTCCCTCTACTACAAAGAAAAATTATAGCACTTGACTGTTTACTTTCTTGGTCAAACCAAAGAACAAAAAAGTCTTTCACCGCTGTAACAAACACCCAGACAAATAATCTGAATACATCATCTAAAACTTTGAATAGACCACAAGCTACAACTAACAAACACATAAAAGTTCAAGTGAAAAAACAGATATCCCGATATTAACTGTAGCTAAGTGCGAAAGCTCTCCAGTATTATAACGACTTGAAGTGAACAGTTTATTCAGGTAAAACAAGTGCACGTGTAAAAGTATCAAATCACATACCTCTCTTTTGTTCATTTATACATCAACAGTATGGCTTCAAACCAAAAACACAGCTCCGGTGCAATAAACAAATAAATACATCCAGGAAGAGGATAAAGCAAAAAAAAAAACTTCTAGATGATGAAAGATGAAACTTTTACAAACCAAACACTCTAGGATAGCCGCAGCAATGCAAAGAGAAAAGAAGAGAAATGCGTCGGGAAATTGTCAGAAGTGATTTCGACATACCATCTTATGGGGTTTTCCACGCGAAGAAGAAGAAAACTGCAGTGGAGACGGCCGGACTAAGACGACAGAAGCTTTTATGGAAGAGTTTGGTCGCCAACGGAGAATGCCATGTTTAAGTTTTGCTTTTTTCGGGGGTTGGAAAGATTATAGAGAGAGAGATGCAAGTTGGAAGGAAGGGTTTTCAATTAGGAAGATAGGGATACGATACAAAGCCGCGGCAGCAACTCCATACTCACTGCAGGGAAGGATTTGTACGAAGGAAAAGGCGTTTTGTTTGTCTTTTTGAGTTGGGCACAGCTCAGCTAACCGCTTCCTATTTTTCCCTACAATGCCTGCGGTTTTTTTTTTTTTTTTTTTTTTTTTTTTTTTTTTTTTTTACCATTTTGTAGTTTCCAAAAACTACCCTTTTCTATTATTTGGGTCAAGACCTCCGCCCCGACCCGAATAAACAATTGGGAGGTTTGTAGTTATGGTGACACAATAGAGAGTGTTTGTTATTACTTTAAAAAAGCATTTTTCAGCTTTTGCCTTTAAAAAAGCTGAAAAGATAGTTTTCAAACGACATATTTTACTTAAATTAAGCACTTAAAAGTTTAAAGTTGGAAGCAGGTGGAAGGGTGTTTTAAATTGTTTTTCACTTTTTCTATTACACAAAAAGCACTTGGGGGTGTTTGGATCTGATTCTTAAAACTGCTTCTGCTCCTTCAGGGAGCAGAAGCAGAAGCAGAATTCGGAGTGTTTGGGTGAAAGTGCATAAGTGATTCTGGTGCTCTAATTTACTCCTAGAATCAGTTTTTTTTAGAAGTTGGGGGGACCGGCTTCTGAAAACTAATTCTGATTCTGTTTATGCTTTAAAAAAGAAGAAGAAGCAGAATCAGTTCCAAACACCCCCTTATTTTGCCAAACACTATCAACTTTTACTTTTTCAGAATCACTGTTTTCTCAGACACTACCAACCTTTACTATTAAGTACTTTCTCCAAAATCACTTTAAAAAATCATTTTTTTGAAGTAGTAGCAATCGTAAAAACTCCCTCAATCTAATGATGGCAGATCTTGTATTCGTGCGTACCAGAGGTCCAACCCAACACACAAGAGCTGTAACCTTCGCACAGCCATTGCGGGACTTGACCCTTTATCAATTTCCAACCTTCTCACCACTCAACCAATTGAGCCCCGTGCGGGTTTGGGCCAAGTATTCAAAATGGCACTCAAAATCAATCCAACCTAATATGGATCACGGGTTAAATTGGAGGGCATACAGTAAATTGGCTTGAATTTCTCTCTAATCAACATCACATTTGCCTTGTTGATCTCCACTAAGCCTATGTCCTCGAACTTGATTGTACCAATCTCATCCCAACATAAAGGCGTACAACATCACCTCCCATGCAATGTCTCGTATGGAGGGCATGTCAATACTCGTTGGATAACTGTTATTATTGGCAAAATGCACAAATGTTAAATGCATGCCCCAACTTTCTTGGCTCTGAGGGCTTGTTTGGTAGTGTTTACATGTTAAAATTTTGCACGTGAAACAATTGCATGTAAAGTCAGAGAAATAACTACTTTACATGTAAAATAGATTACATTGTTTGGCAGGAGGTGTAATTTGTTTTTAAATTGCACGCAAAGTCATTACAGTGGTTTTAAAAAACATGCAAAGTATTTTACCACTATCTCCCACGTAAAATACTTTACATGTTACAACGCAAAATGATTTAAAAAATGTCCTGCATTTTACATTAAATAATTAAGACAAAGGGTGTAAATCCTTTTACGTCCCTACACTTCACATGCAAGAGTAGTTATTTTACCTCCCACCAAACGCACTCTAAAATACAATCTCTCTTCATTTTCAAAAGTACATCCAATACATTCAAACTCCCCAAGCCGAACATATGTTAGTGTTCCTCCTCAACTTGCTTACAAGTAACCATCAACTGACATACATAGCTATTATCTCTTCATATTAGATCATCACAAGCCGGCTTTCAACTTCCCATACATTTTGCCTCCTGGGTATGATCTGATGATGAGCTCCAAAAGTCTTTATAGAGATCATCATCTCTCTCTCGAAAGTCATCGACCGCTCGACCGCTCCTGTTATTATGTATTCACGGATCTTCTTACATTCTTCATCATCCTCTTGGGTCTCAGAGGCGGAAGTGGGATCTCGTCATGTGGGGGGGGGGGGGGGGGGGGTCAAAAATGAATAATGCAAGCAATGGTATGTTAAAATATAGAAACAAATGTACACTATTAGGATTGCAGGTTGACTGATTTTAGTTTTTTTGGGACTTTTTGGGCAGTTCAAAAACATTTTTTAAAGTATGTTTGGGTAATGTTTTGAAAAAAAAACTAATGCTATCAAATGATATTTTTTGTATTTGATTTCGCATCACAAAATAAAAACAAAATTAAGTACTACCTCCGTCCCCCCAAGTTTGAGACAAGAAAATATGACACGGTTATTAATAAAAGTGAGTTTATGTGGTTGATATTAAAATGATAAAGTAAGAATAAAGTAAGAATGATTTAGAACCACACAAATTTTACCAAATAATGTATGAGACAATCTTAGTGGGACGGACCAAAAAGGTAATATGGGACAATCATAGCGGGACGGAGAGAATATATGTTAAATATTCTTAGAATTGTAGACAAAAAATCCAAAAGTCATGTACCAAAGACAACAAACATAGGCGGATGATGAAAAACAAAACAAATACATCATAATTCATCAAAAGAAAGAAAGGAAAGATATAAAAGAAGTAATTATTAGCCCACAAATACCACAAAATTATTAAAAAAAGTTGTCAAGTTTTGCATTTTGATGTGTCTAGTAACACTATTTAAGTGATAGAAGTGAGAAAAACATCAAATACTTGTGATCTCATGACATCATAATGACACTTCCAATGAGGATGTCGCAGGTTTTAACATAGAACAAATAATATAATAGGTAAAAAGGTTTGCCAAAAAAAGTAAGAAAAACCAGAATGATTTCAATGTTTTTGAATATGGAAAATTAAAATGTGTTTAATTTGATTCATTTCAATTTTAACCGATCAAATTACAATGACGTAAACAGACCAGATTAAACTGGTGTGACTAGATTAGACGAATTCAAACTCCGTACTTATATATTTATTAGACCAGAATTAAACATAGATCTAACAAGAAAATATGATTAAAAAAACAAGAAAATACTCACTAACTTTTGTTTATGACAATTCCCATTTCAAAACTTTTTTTAGAAGTAATCTTATAAATTCGATTAACCAATATTGACCGACTGAAGTATAGATCCTTCTGGATTCTTCTTCTCATGAAGGTGTCTTGCCGCCCACAAATAAATCTGGCCCGTCGAATCTATCTCAACCTCATATAGCCACCGATTCAACCCCTTCTCCACAGGATCAAGCTAAGAAGCCCCATCCTCTCCGATTCCTGTGATTCCCGTGGGTGAGATCTCTTTATATATCCAGGACATTTATTTGTGCTTTTCAAATACCTATGTATAGATCGTGCTGAAAGGTCTCTCTTAACATCTTAGAGTTCACTGATTGAAAAAGATGTTCGGAAGGCCGCCGAAAAAGAGTGACAACACTAAGTACTATGAGATCTTAGGAGTTGATAAGAACGTTTCACAGGACGATCTCAAGAAGGCTTACAAAAAGGCCGCCATAAAAAACCATCCCGATAAGGGTGGCGATCCCGAGAAGGTATAGTTTTATTGCTGGCCTCTGTTGTTTTGAATTCTGCAATTAGCGGTTTTGAATTATTCTCTGCCATTGTTATTGTAAATAAATGCGTCAGTCTTGCATGCGTTTGTATTACTTTTAATTATTTATCATTTTATCATATTCATGTTTTGGAAATTGTCGCTAGTGTTGTAGTTTCACTAAGAATATTTTTACCTATTGACTATTGTTAATCATGTTTCTTCCAAATTAGCTCCCATCTGTTTTGCTAATTCACAGAGCTCTTTAAGGTTCTATATGAAGAGTCTACTTTGTTCTATTTGTGAGCTTTCAGATACAAAATTGGTGTTAATTAACATTTGCAGTTAACCCAACAGTCCAATTATTGTCTCACTGTTTTGGTGCACAGCCAATTATGCTTATCACCAAATATTAACTTATACTCCCTTTTTGCTGAAACTGTGAAATAAATGAGAAGACTTTTCCTTTATATCCATGTTTTTTTTTCTTTTTTCTTTGTTATTTTGTTTTATGATTGTTAACTGCCTGTTTAGATAGCTCCGTGCATATTTATATAGCCCAGTTCTTGTAATTCCATCCACTTGGGGTCAATTTACAGCTACTCCTACTAAATGGGTTCCTGGTTGGATAAATTAAGTGAACTTCAGATGAACTTTAAGCAGACCTATTGTGTTCACTATGCAATTTGTGCTAAAATGTTGTCAGCTTTAGTATTGGTTTAAAGATTTATATGGTTTTCCGTTTGCCCAATTTCGCAATTTAAATAAACTTTGTAGTCCTATTGCTTTGTTAGCTATGCAACTTTTAAGTCCATACTCATTTTTCCCTTCTGCTCGAAACTTTTATATTTTTGATCAGGTTTGGAAATCATGCTTTTACTGATGACTAGGATCCTATTTTATTGCTTTTTGTAAAATGTGCAATAAGGGATGAAATGCATAATTTGTGCATGTATAGATTTGTTTTTTGTAAGTGATTTACATTTTTGTTGTATTTGGGTTTTGTGTTTCAGTTTAAAGAGATTGCTCATGCTTATGAGACATTGAGTGATCCAGAAAAACGTGAGATATATGATCAGTATGGCGAAGATGCTCTTAAGGAAGGAATGGGAGGTGGTGGTGGTATGCATGATCCTTTTGACATCTTCCAATCCTTCTTTGGTGGCAGTCCATTTGGTGGTATGTCCATTGGTTCCCTTTCTTGAATGCCCTAGTCAGATACAAATTAAAGTATTTGTTGGTAGGGAACATAGTTAGAGTCTTGAGAGGCAGAGAAAAGAAAGAACAATGCGGAATGTTTTTTTACACATTGTTTGTTGAAGAGAAAAATGGAGAAAAAAGAATATAAATGTGGTATTACGAAAAAGTAAAGAATACATCTAAACTAAATATGCTAGTTTAGAAATACTATTACCTTCTCTTCCCATGAGAAGAGAAGGTAAGTAGGCGCTACCTACTTATTTTGTTCTTTCCCTCCATACCAAACTTAAGAAAAATGCATTTCCTCTGCTCTTTTTCTCTTTAGTTTTCTCTTCAATCAAAGGCTGAACTCAATATTTTTATTTTTGTAGGGGGTGGAAGCAGCCGGGGCCGCAGGCAAAGGAGGGGGGAGGACGTTGTTCACCCCCTCAAGGTATCCTTAGAGGATCTGTACAATGGAACTTCAAAGAAGCTGTCTTTATCCCGAAATGTGTTGTGTCCAAAATGCAAGGGGTAAACATACAATTTTGTTGTGTTTATGTAGATAATTGTATAGGTATCAGTGTATGTTTGTCGAATGAAATATCATGATTTTTTTTCCAGGAAAGGGTCCAAATCAGGTGCATCAATGAAGTGTTCTGGCTGCCAGGGCTCTGGGATGAAAGTTTCCATTAGGCACCTCGGACCGTCTATGATCCAGCAGATGCAACACCCTTGCAATGAGTGTAAGGGTACTGGAGAGACTATCAATGATAAAGACAGGTGCGCACAATGCAAGGGTGAGAAGGTTGTGCAAGAGAAAAAGGTGTTGGAAGTAATTGTGGAGAAAGGAATGCTGAACAGTCAGAAGATTACCTTCCCTGGAGAGGCTGATGAAGCTGTGAGTATATTTCTAGCTCTTATCGTTTTTATTTATATATTACTTGCCATCCAAATCTTTCCACCATTTGCAATGGAGCCAAAGATTCATTGTTTTTTTGCCTTGAGAATACGATAGAATAAAGCAAAATGGGTCACTAAATTGTCTGCGCTTCTTTGTTATGAAGTAGCAGTCGGTCCATGCAATTTTGGACGCGTTTTTCACTATTGGTCATCCGGAAACAGTCCCTGCTTTAGTACAGGGGTAAGACTGCGTACATCCGATCACCCCTTATCCCACCGTAGGTGGGAGCATTTGCGGCACTGGGGTAAATGAAAATGATGATTACTTGCCATCCAAAAAAGAACACAGTTTCATCAAGGCATAACACTTGTAATTCATGTGTTAAATCAATTATATTTTTAATTTTGCATAAAATTAGCATACTTGACTAGTTTGGATCAATTTCTATTGGAAAAGATACACAAAGTTCAATCTAAATCACCCTTTGTTATGGGTTAGCTGAAGTTGCTGAATGAATGGCCTGAATTTTGTGAATGGGAAACGTGTCTGGAGATTTTTTTGTCAGTTAAGCCAAAAGGAATGTATTGTACTTCCTCTTGCTCTGCTTATTCAGAAAAATAAGCTTAATGCTCAGAATAAGCTGAATCAGGCTGCTGGCTTCCAGACATCATAAAGCTCACCGAGTTATACCTTAGATTTTTTAATGAAACAATACTGTTTTTGGGACTACAAGAAGCTTGTAAAAATGGACTTCCCCTGTTAGAGGTAGTATTATCCAAGACTTTCAAAAATATCTGATTCAATTTATGCCCTATTTGTCTTTTTTTAGCCGGACACTGTCACTGGAGACATAGTCTTCGTCTTGCAACAAAGGGAACATGCTAAATTCAAGCGAAAGGGAGATGACCTTTTTGTGGAGCATACCTTAACCCTAACAGAGGCCCTTTGTGGTTTCCAGTTCATCTTGACACACCTAGATAATAGGCAGCTCCTTATCAAGTCACAACCGGGGGAAGTTGTTAAACCTGGTAAGTGAAAGTAGACTTTGAACTGCTTCTGTTCCCTATGCCATTCAAGGATCCCTTTACACAAGGGTGATTGAGTGAATACTAAATTCTATTTAGTGCTTTCGGGTATGTTAATTTGATCTGTTTTTAGAAGATGAATAGTAGTGACTGGTATTGACTTGTCAGAGAAAACTTCAGGGCTAGGCTCTAGAAGCATTGACTATTTACAGAACACTTAGGGTCCTTTGTAACACAGGTAATGGAAGGGAAAGTATTGAGGAAAATAAGAAAATTTAGACAATAAACATTCTGAGAAAATTAAAATACCTCAAAAATTATTTTTGATATTTGTTTGCAGATTTATTTATTCATTTATTCTTATTCTATGCTCCATTTGTTTTCATTTATGTCTCTTCTTTATTGAAAATGTATTTATTAAGACAACCAATTGGTGTCTTCAAATGAACAAAAAAACCCTTGTCACTTGGATATCCAGTTTTCCCTCATTTATGAAAACTTCTAATACCATGTTTTCCGATGCACGGTATATTAGAAAAATGTAATTATTGTTTCAATTTTCCATACGTTTCCAAAAATCACAAAAGCTTCAAGAGTGGGAAAATAGGAGAGGGAGCATAGACTAAGAAGTAAGAACTCCGAGTAGATGTAAGTTTTGAGAATCATTGGTTTCTTTTTCCTTTGAATTTTCCGAGTATTAAGTTTTGAATATCATTAATTTCATTTCCCTTTGCATACGCAGAGGTAAAACTGAACATAGGAAACCAACCCTCCTGTCCTTAGAAACTGCACTCTTTAATTTCTTTCCTAGCCCAAGATTTTTCAGGGATCCAAAATACGTTCACGATGCACTGAAGTTTTTTCTTGAAACTTGGTTTCCTCTACTTCAGTGATGGGTTTTATAAGGTATTGATGGTATTACTAAAATTTGACACTGCAGATCAATTCAAGGCCATAAACGATGAAGGAATGCCTATGTACCAAAAGCCATTCATGAGAGGAAAGCTTTACATTCACTTCACAGTGGAGTTTCCGGAGTTTTTATCTGTTGAGCAATGCAAGGCTCTCGAAGTCGTTCTGCCTCCCAAGCCTGCAACTGGAATCACCGAGATGGAGCTTGATGAGTGTGAGGAAACCACTTTACATGACGTTAACATTGAAGAGGAGATGCGCAGGAAGCAGCAGCAAGCCCAGGAGGCATACGATGAAGACGAAGATATGCATGGCGGGGGCCAGAGGGTACAATGTGCACAGCAGTGATTCAACAATAATTTTGGGAAATGGTGTGTGAGATGCTTAATGGGTCTCGCTCGTGACTAAAACTGATTAAAAAATGATTATATGTTATAAGCTACATCGCTTCCTTCCTGTTGTATCTCCACAGAGAATTTAAAGATTGTGTTTTGCTTCTTTCTACGGCATAACAATATAACATGCGTCTGTTTTCTTGAATAATGGTAGTGTTTATTTATTTGCTCCACTCCATTCTCCATTTCAAATGACAATTACTCTCATTTCTTCGAAGAACTACTTTCACTTCTCTATAACCTCTAGTAGATAACTCATGCATCTCCGTTTAAATTAACCACGGTAAATACTTAATAATCAATGTTCCCATGAATTAAAAGACCTCATTACTCTCTAAATAATGAGAAAACAGTTTCTTATGCGGAAAAAAATGCTAATGCCTAGTGGATTAGCAATTAATTTAAACCATGTCAGTACAACAACAAATAAAACACATTAATCATCGATATTTAGGAATTCACTTCGCATGAGCAAAGTTAGTCGCAAATGCTCAGGCCTTGTTGTTTGGCTAGGTTCTCCAGCAGCCCCTTTCTGGTCACATTGGCCTGAACAAAGAAGCCAACCACGGAGAACTAGGGATGGACCCGGGTCGGGCCCGGGCCCGGGCGGGGCCTAGGACCGGCGGGACCACGGTTCAGGTATAGGTAGGTCCGAGACCAACCCGGGCTAAGGCCGGTGCCGGTTCGGGCCGGGTCACCCGCCCGGGTCACGGGTCGGGCCACTCGCCGGGCCGGACCTTTTATTTTTTTAATTATATATTATACAAATTCTTATTAAAAACAAAATTCAAGTGCATTTATTTGAAATATGAAGTACATTTGAGAATTGAGAAAGTAATAACAATATGAAATACATTTTTTAATAAATATCAATTGGGATTTCCGCCACCGTTGGTTGTTGTTTTGCCTTTGTCACATGACTTCATATGTTTTATTGGCATCCCGACTCCGTGTGAACGCCCCAAGCAATACTCTTTCTTGCACCACTTGCAAGTTGTCCACCATAGTCCGGTCTTCGGGTCCTTTCCCTTATCAAAATTGTTTTGCATAAGAGAAAAATTACTTTCCATCTTTAAAATGGTAGATGTATAAGTAGGAATGTAGGATAATAAGAGAAGATGAAGATGGAGAATAGTTGGAGAAGAGGTGTAGAAAAATGGTAGAAAATAGATGTATTTATAGATTTTTTTGAACCCCACTCCCCACACCACCACCCCCGGGATCCCTCTGCCCCCCACCCAAAGCCCCAACGGCTATATAGCCGTTTTGGAGCTATTTTGTATTTTAAAATGTTTTTAATTTTTTTTTTTGAAAATTATACATGTTGTAAAATAAGTTAATTAATTTAATGAATTAAGTAAAACTATTTTTACTTAGAAAAGTGGTTTGATCTATAATTTACAAATGTTACAAAATAGGTGTATAAGTATTTAAACAAATTACATATTGTAAATGTATTTTTAATTTAAAAACATCCTTTAGATTTTAGAAAAATAATTTTAAGTTGTAACTTGTAAGTTTGTAACCAATTAATTAATTTGAGAAGTGCTACATATGAAAAAATGAACGCATATTTATTTGAAATATGAAGTACAAGTTTACAAATTAATTTTATTGAAATGATTATTGAATAATTTTTTTTGTTAATTATTGAATTGATGTACACAATAATATAAAATAATTCAAGTATATTTATTTCATATAGGCAGTACAATTGAGAATTAGGATGAATTTAATAAATGTAATGCATTTTGTAATAAAAAATCAATCGGAATCTCCACCTTCGGTGTTTGTTTCCTCCATAAAGTGGCGGGTGGGAGCGATGGTCATTTCTTGAGTTCTTCGTTGGGCCTTCAACCAATCGTGGAAGCAAACTAGCGTCTCAAGAGAGCTCGGGCTCAAACTCGATCTATAACCGGTTAGGACGTTGCCGGCCGCACTAAATTCTTGTTCCACGGCAACTGTTGATATCGGCATTGCTCGCACTTGCTTAGCCATCTTTGATAAAATCGGGAACGTTCTTTCATTTTCCTTCCACCACTTAAGAACGTCAAAGTCACCCCAACTTCATAACCAACATTCAATGTTAGATACAAAGAAAGCTCGTTAACTGAGCTTTGTTCAGTAGCGGGAGTTGCTCTACTTTTATAAAATGAGAAGTCTAACAATTAACTATTTTTATAAAATGTATGAATGTGTATAAGTATATATAGTTTATATAATGTGTAAATGTATTATAAGTAATATATAATATAATGTTTATAGTATATAATATATAAGTATATTACTATAAGATGAGTAATACACTTATACTTAATACTTTAATATATATATATATATATATATATATATATATATATATATATATATATATATATAAGTATATATTAACTAAATGTAATATGTAAATATAAGTAAATAACAATAGTATGGATAATAACTAAATATCAAGTAAACATGAATGTGTATAAGTATATATAGTATATATAATGTGTAAAGAATTGTAATATGAATGTGTATAAGTATATATAAGTATATATTTATAAGTAGATAATTAATATATAAGTATATATAATAATTATATAAATTATATATATGTAGAAAGAATTTGGAGAAGATGAAGAATGAAGATGATTGAATATGAGAGATTGAGAGAATAGAGAATTAGAGAGTATGAAGAGTTGTAGAAGAAGAGGTGTAAAAAATGTATAGAAAATAGGAGTATAAATAGGTTTTTTTGTATACCCCACCCCCACCCCCCACCCCACCCCAAGACCCCCCCTTCCTATGCCCCCAACGGCTATAGAGCCGTTTGGGAATAGTCCCAACGGCTATAGAGCCTTTAATTTTTTTTTTTAAATATGGCCGTTGAGGCCCGGATTGGCCCCGGCCGGGCCGGGCCGGTTCACTAATATGCAGGCCCGAGCCCGGACCGCTATCAGACCGGGTCGGGTGGCCCGAACCGGCACCCAGACCGGTTACCGGGCCAGGCCGGGTACAAACAGTACCGGTCCGGGCCGGTTGGCCCGACCCGAGTCCACTCCTACGGAGAACATGGCCTCCTGTTTTTGATCTCATTCACTTTGAGCTCCGCGAAGGCCTCTGAGTCACCAACCAGATTGAGCGGGTTGAAGATTCCACCAGGGTAAAGCTGATCAATGACCTCTAAGGCCGAGCCTCAGGTGACACGGTAGCCTTCAATGGCTCTCATCAAGATGACCTTGCAAGTTGTGATGGCCAAGATCCTCTGCGTATGGATCATAATAGGGGTCCCCAAGTGATTCAGGCCTTCTTCACTGAACATCTAGGGCCTGGCCTCGAACCACACCGCCTCCTCAAACTTCACCCCGTTTAGAGCAAGTAGCTCCAGGAAGATGCAGCCCAACGCACCCAGCATCAGCATCGCACACGTGCTGCAGATCACCTACAGCTCAGGGGCATAGCCAGGACTCTGGGCTAGACTGGGCCAGTACAAAGAATATTATTGGAAAAAAATTTACACGAAATTTTTTACACTAAAAATATTGACATTTTTCAAATTTGGGGTGGGCCAGGGCCTAGCCTGGGCACTCCCTAGCTCCGCCCCTGCTACAGCTCATGGTTCCTTGTGAACGTCTCGAGGCCCGCATGTCCCATATGTAGTGGCCCGAAACTTGCCATTCAGGTAGCTTGACGCCTCCTTAGAGAAACTTGCCGTTAAGGTAGCTTGCCGTTTACCTATTCTTCCTCTCCATTGATGGATGGCAGTTTAGCTATCCTTCTACATGATGCATGGCATTCTTCTTCCATGTTTTATTTAGTCCCATTCAGCAAGAAACTAATGAAATACTCATATTGCATACTGTAAAAACTCCAAATTTTTTCTAGCTTTAATCAATTGGAAAGAGGTCATTGACAAAGCACCATTACATTAAATGCAAATGTCAGCATTACATATTTTGAAGAGACCAATTCAATTTTCTCTCTTGGCTGGATAAAAAGTAAGCTGTCCTATATTTTTTTGTCTTTCCAAAAACCTTGAGCCTAGCCAAATGAGCTGACAACACACAAAATGCTTTGATCCGTTTTTTACCCAGATTTTTGTGCGGGAAACCCACCTAGGAACCTACTGTTCTTTGGCTCCGGATTAAGCTTTCAAGCCATGTTGGTACCGACTGTTCTTTTTGCCCGATTCTGAACTGGTAAAAGTGTAGGGGCGTTTTGGTCCTGGGTAGCCTAAAGCAATGTAAACATCTTTTATAATGGAGTAACAATTTTTCTGATCCAGGGCCCTTCACTTTTTTGATAAATTTAATTTCTATTATTAAAAGATAACTGAATCTTTTGAGCAACACTATTAAATCACACAAAACGAGACTAACATTTGCCATTTATTCATATAACCTGAATATTGAAAAAATAATAAATACGACAGTTCACACTATTCCAAAGTGTGTTGTTTGCAGCCTTTGGGTCCAAAATGATGAGAGCTTCGCTTCAACGTCTTTCTGCATAGGTAACAGTAATGATTTTGGCATGCCCAGCACAAGATGTGATTGTTATTTCCAACCTTGGCATTTTGTTGACCACATATGGGACAAGTATGACCAGGACGATGAGCATCGAGTTGTTGAGCCATAAATCGGCCAACTACTTGACGATCGTTCATACGCTCCTCCCACATCTGTATCGTCTCCACAGGGAAAAGCTCACACTGCCCATCCCTGAAATGGTCATACCCTCCAATTGCTTTATTACAGGAGTAGCAGAAATACTGCCCACAGTTTTCACATACCATTTTGTTGCAACCCTCACTCCGGGTGATAGCCATCTTACAAGAAGGGCATTGCTTTGCAGAACGGACGATCTCCTTCATGCTAAGAAGTTCATTGATCATTTCTTGCTCACGGTGCCTTTGTTTGCCGTTTAGTTGAGATGAATTTTGCCGCTCCTTTAAAATGTGAAGTTTCATTTCGGGCGACATACACGCAACTCCAATGTGGCGTTTGTCCCTACAAAGTGTACAGAAGCTGAAGAAACATGTTGGGCATTGTGCATGATTGTCTTCGTCTTCTATGCATATCGTTTCACACCTCGGGCAGTAGCACACATCAGACATTGATTCCAATGTTTTCTGCAACATTAGGCGTTCCCATTGTTCAAACCCCTCTTCATCAAGTAACTGTTTCAGCAAACCTGGGGGTATCGCGCCCCCGCATTTCGCACTTGGACACAGAAGCTTAGATAAGGTGCCTTCCTTTACATGCATTTTTGAAAATGTTTTCATGCACTTGCAACAGAAAAAGTGTTCGCAGGGTAGTCTAACAAATTCACTCCCAGGATATTCACCAATACAGATGCAGCACTCTTGGATGTTTTTGATAAAGAACTCATAGCGATGTTCCTTATCATAGCTTCTCAGTAAAGGAATATCAATATCAGGAGAGGAGCTTCCTGATATGGCCCGCCTATCTTCAATAACCCCCACATCATACAGGCTCAGTTGAAGTTCTTGATCAAATTGGAGGTATGAAAGAGAGGAGCTTTGCAACCATTCCACCCACTGGTATATCACCTCCTGCCCTGGTTGCTCTTTCCAAATTGAATCAAGAAAGTGACAAAGCTGGGAGATTTTTGAAGACTTCAACCATTGCACGGACATGGTGAAATGAGGAGGGAGATCAGAAGGATATGATTCAGGTAATAAGCATGAGAGTGTTATTGGTGGGAGATGCTCAACTCTGAAGGAGTATCGAAAATCGGGCACGGAATCTCCACTCTGGGTCGAAATTGTAGATGCTTTTAAATTCACAGAAACTGTAAGCTCCTTCGGAACATCGATATGAATATGGATCTGTACACATCGTAGGCCATTCTGTCTGTCGAGGTGAAAAATGTTGTCACCATAAATGGAGTCCAGTGCTAGTAACTCATCTTCCTGGGCCTGACCATTGATCTTAAGCAGTTCTTCAGACAACTCTGGCTCCTCAACACCCAACCGCAACTCCTCCAATCTTCTCCTTAAATCAGAACCATCCTTAATCTCCTCTGTTCCCACTCGAATCTCACCATAATTTTCCTTCAATACTCTTTCTGAATCCTCTTCTGCGCTCGGATCATCAGGCTCAGTTCCACCACCGCATTCGCTTCTAGAACCATCCTTGATCTCCTCTATTCCCACTCGAATCTCACCATAATTTTCCTTCAATACTCTTTCTGAATCCTCCTCTGCGCTCGGATCATCAGGCTCAGTTCCACCACCGAATTCGCTTATAGAACCATCCTGATTTTCGCATTTAGGCAGGCCGATTTGCTGCGTTTTCTGCAAAAACCGGTGTTTAGCCGCCTGGCGATACCTGTTCCTGGACATCCACCTAGGGTTTCTGGGATTCTTCTCCAAAGATTTGTCTTTTGACAGAACTTCAGCCGAAACACTTGGATCAGTCTCAGATGTAGCCGAAGATGAAGAAGCATTGCGTGATGGTTCATCTTTGGGTTTAACAATCCAGTTATCACCGTGTTGTTTTCGCTGATAATAATAATTATTCGGTTTTGTTCTCCTAGACATGGCTGCTTGCTTAGCCTTGCTCAAACAATGGCAAAAAGAATGGAAACAATAGTGGGTAATAAACACCGAGTAAAACCTAGGGTATAATATTAGGCTGTAAAACACCTTATAAAGAATAGGCCAATTTTTTGGATAAAGGGTAATTAATTAATTATATACTCCGTATCATCCAGGTCATAATATTAGGGCGGTGAAACCAAAGAATAGCGCATAATAGTAGCCACTTAGCGCATAACTTCTGATATTAGACCTTGAATAGTTGCAACATTTGCAATCTCCCTCACATATGATATTATGTGCGTCGCTGATCCTCGAGAACGAGAATTAGGGAGCGGCATTGCGGCGCTACTTTTGGTTTCGTGTGTGCGAGTGTTGCGGCTGGACAGGGCGGGTCCCGAGAAAATACGGACCCTGTGCAAAAATAAAAAAAAGCTTTTCCTAAAATAGGTAGAAATATAATATACGTGAAGATCATATTTGTAAAAATTTGCTACAATAATAATAATTCATATATATCAAAATACAAGTTATTCACTAACATACTAGTTAAAATAAAACTATTCCCTCACAAAATACACTTCATTTATTTGTTAAATTGAATTATAAATTAATAGTTAAAATCAAACTATTCCCTAACATCAATATAATTGATAGACGTAATGAACATTTGATACATATTTAATAGTTTGTTAATTTAATAATGACATGCAATAAAAAATATTAGTAGTTATTATTATGATTACAAATTAATATCAATAATTGTAGCGGATGGCATATATGAGCTTAGAATCTAATGAGTTTTTAGTTATACTTTATATGATATAAAACTACGAATTGAGAGGATGTTAACAACAACCTAATGGTTGAGCCGGTTAAGTGTCCTCATGGGTAAGAAACCCTCCGGGGTTCAAATCCCTTGGTGTGATTTTTTTTTAATTGTGAAGCATGAGATCTGAATATTGGGCTCTATTCGTTCTTATAGTAATAAGAGGTCTATTGAAAATTTGGGCCCTCAAAATTTATGGGCCCTGTGCGGCCGCACATCTGGCACACCCTCTGGGCCGGCTCTGCGGCTGGAAGTAGGCAGACCGAACTTTCGGAGCAGGCTTCTCTCTCGACAGATTTGGAAGAGCAATCGAGCTATATGGCGGAGATGGAAGAGATGGTGAACAAATGCGACAACGTGGCGCTCAGAGAGTAGGAGGAAGAGCTGGTCTTGGACGAGGAGATTGACGGAGAGGATGAATCGTCGAATCGTAGCCTAACCTTTCCGGTTGTTGGCACTATTCTCATGGCTCCTGTATTCGGGGATCTCATGGCTCTTATTTGGCACCCCGAAAAAGGGATATCTATTAAAGAGATTGGCGAGAAGAGGTAATTGTTTAGTTTTTTTACCATATTGTTGATATGGAACGTGTTCTAGAAGGTGGCCCGTGAGTATGAACAAAATTTGCTGGTGCTGAGGGCGCTGAAACCGGGGGATATTCCTCTTCGGGTTTCCCTTAATGAAGCTGAATTTTGGGTAATGTGCCTTGTGATTATATGAATTTAGGGGTGGCTAGGAGAGTTGGTGACTTCATTGGTAAATTTATCAGTTTTGACGAAAGTCAATTTGAAGAACGTTGGAATTCTTACATGAGGATAAGAGTCTGTATGGATGTAGGAAAAGCTCTCAAAGTGGGCACGACGTTGAGAAAAGGGCGGGGTACATGCCATAGGGTGGAATTTAAATATGGAAAACTACTTAGCTTTTGCTTTGCCTGTGGTATAATTAGTCATGCTGATAGGTTTTGTCCTTTGGCTTATGATTGTGAGAACAACATATTGACTAAACCCTTCAAGATTAATCTCTGTGCTGGAGGGGGGGGGGGGGAGCTCGACCGATGAGGGTCAACAAATGGATAGTTACAGAAGGTTCTTCAAGCGGAAACGGGTTGATCCAACAGGGTAAACAACAGAGCATTATAAGCAACGGAGGGGTAGAGTGGGATAATCACCATGGTGGATGCTAGTACAATGGGAGGGAAGGAGAACGATGCAACAGCTATGGAAGAAGGCTTTCCAGGAGAGCAAAAGCGTAGAAGAATGTGGGAGGAAAAGCAACATGAGGACGGCGAAGGGGACAATATGGTGGTGGACCTTCCAAAAACGATGCAGGGGCGGGTCTTAGACTCTAGACCCGCCGAGAGACTTGAGAATGTTCTAGGATATGGGAGGTCAGAGGTTCTTTGTCAATTGTGTGAGGGTGCAGCTGAATTCCCACTACTTTATTTTATGTTTTTTTATCAGACTGTCGTTGTTATTTTCTGTAATTTTTATCTCAGTCAGACTCTTGCATTAGGTTGGGGTGATGAGGGGTTTGCTCGAACCACGCTAGGCTCATTTAGACCTATTACGGGATCAGCGGGCCATAATGCTTTTCCCAGAGTGGTTGGCTCCAATGTTCTAAAAGGCGTTAGGCGCTAGTCGGGCGCAAGCCCAACGCCTAGCGGCTAGGCGGACGCCTAGTCGGTGACTAGCCGGAGAAATAGAAATTGCGTTTTATCTATATTTTTGCATAAGTATGGTAAGTAATATTGTATTTGTGTGTGCAGTGGCGTCTTTGGGGGGAGTTACCCCAGGCACCATGCCTAGGGCCTCCACCTCTAAAGGGCCTCGTTTTTTTCATCTCTTTTATAAAAAAATGTATATTTAATTAATTAGTTAAGCAAATAAATAAATAAATAAATTGTAATGAAATTGATAATGACATAAATAAATACTAATTATGTACTACCTTTGAGCCACCCAAGTTTGTTAACTTTTTAATTAAGTTGTTCAAAAGTATTGAATATCCTTTTTAAAGTAGTGATTTATAATGTCAAATTTATATAGATACGTGAAAAAATCCTACTGGTTAATTTATATTCTCATATTATTAAATTTAGAGATTTTTAATGTTTTTCATTAAATAATAAGAAAGTGATTATAATGTACTAAAGCAATTATAATTTATTATAATATTTATTTTATCTTGAAATTTTATATCTTTCTCGTTAAAAATCTTTGTTGAAACTTAAAAGGAGAGATTATTGTATTATTTATTCTTATTAATGTGCTAATTGTTATAAAATGCAGAAGTACTTAGACTACAAACAATTTGATAATGTTTTGTATTGAGAAAAGGGATAATTTCAGTACACATAAAACTATTATTCCCACCCCACAGAATATGTTCAAATTCTAGTTATTATATTTATGTAATTAACTTTCATATTTTAAATAGTTTTGATCTTAAAAATATAATGGTTAAAACTTGACCATCATTGAAAAAGTATACAATAACATTGAAACATTAATAATCATTCGTCAAATCGGTGCAACTATTCTGTTTATTAGTTTTATTTGTATACCTTTTACGGTGTTTTAATTTTTTGCCTGGGGCCTCAAATTCTCCGAGGACGCCCCTGTGTGTGTGTATAAAATACACTAGCGTTTGCTCGCGCAAGGCGCGAGAGCTATTGCCCAATGCCAAAATGATGATCTTTTTTACAAATTGTCGAATCAATTATATTCCGTTCGTCTCAAGTATTGTGTGGAAGGTATTGCTATATCATTATTATTTTTTGCTATATTATTTGAAAGTATGGGATTGTGTGATTTGGCTTTACTATATTTTTTGTTCAAATATATGAAATAGTTGTAACTTGTAAATGCCTATACAACAAGAAATCTACAACCATATGATTTGGGGTGTTCATTTCATCTGATTGCAGACATGAAATTGAGTGGGGCAAATTTCCTATGTGTGCAAGCATTTGAGAACGGGTTATAAAATGAGCATGCCTTCAAATATGTTTGTTGCATTAATTGGGAAGATTCAAAAGGTTTTTTCAGTTTGTTTGGTTTAACATTCCAACCATGACCAGAGAGAGAGTTGTGCGGATACTTGGTAACTTTCAAGTTAGAGTTAACGGAGATTAAGTATTTAACGGTATATCAAGGGTAAAGGAGTCAATTGAAAAGTGAGGTTCCATTTTTAATAACAATGTACATGCAACATCTCATGCATAGAGTGTATTGACATAAATTAAGGGTACCAACCTTGATTCATAATTATAATGTTGTTAGATGTATACATATACATTAACAATCATGAAAGATAGAATTATCAAATTTAATCATACTTAATATATGATAACTAATCACTTAACTTCATTATGTTATACATATAAGTAATGATAAAATTTAGGTATATATACAAACATGTATAGTTTTATCTTAATTTACAACTTCATTTCTTTATATCCATGACGAAAGTCAAAGTACATATATCGCATGAAAAATTAAAATTAAAAGTAAAGTAATGTTCGATGATTCTAGACGGTCTAGGCGGCCGATTAGGCGCTCTAGGCTGGCAACTAGGCGCTATAGGCGGCCGACTAATTCACCTAGACGGCAAACCAATTAGTCAGAGCGCCTAGACAAAAATCGGGGTGCCCGGCCACCGCCTAGATCCTAGGCGGGGACTAGTCGGGCGTCTAGAACGATTTTTAGAACAGAGGTTGGATCTAAGTCTAGTTTGAGGGTCGGTGGTTGGAATTGGTCCTTTTATCTTCTTGTTCCCTTGCTGCATACTCTGATATCAATTTAAGTTGTCTTGTTAAAAAAAATGCTTAACTTTGACCACACTTTATTTAAGAATGGGTTAAAATTTTGGAGAAAATAATTTCAATACCCCAAACTTTAATTGGGCTGTGAGGTGTGTACCTAGCTTAAACTTGCATATGTAATATATGAATGCATTAAAATTTGGGGGAGAATAATTTAAATATCTCAAACTTTAATGAGGGTGTGAGGTGTGTACCCTAAACTTGCATATGTAATATATACACGCTGAACTTTATATAAAAAGTTATTTACGCATTATGATTATATGTTTTTTACAAATACAAATTTATTGGAATAATTATATAATTTAAAATACCTTAAGCCTTGTAAGAATGCAGTTAACATTCTAAAATTTCATTTGTCAAATAAATAATATTATTTGATGTACAATTTAACTTTAATTGCATCCTCATGACCTCATAGATGTTTTGTGTATAAAAAATTATGTACTTAATACCATAAAATTACATTTATAAAAAGTATATAGTGATGGTGCTAACATAACATTCTATGTATAGTGTGGGGTATATATATATTATGTGTGTAAGTTTGGGGTACTTATGTCACACCCCTTCAAAGTTAGGACATTTAAATTATTTTCTATTAAAGTTTTAATTTTTAAAAAATATAATTAAATTCTTCTCATTTTAAATTTTAAAAATGTGATTTTTAATTTTTTTGACAACTAGAGAATTAAATATGT